CACCAACCCACCAACCCACCAACCCACCAACCCACCCACCCACTTACTAAAGACTTTTCCCAAATCCTTCCGCATATACTTTCGTATACTATTTTTTAATGAAGCGTTTTTCGAATATTATTCCAAGAGAAAATGGGTTTATTTTCTCTTAATTAGTCTTATCAGTATGTATCATAGTTGTGTTATTGTTATTTTTGTGTCAAGCGCTTCGAATCTTGGACTTGTGCGCTACATAAATAAATATATTATTATCATTACTATATTAATAGTCCCCTTCAGTGCTCCCTGCGCCATCTTGAAAGGTAACCGTGCCTGTGTATCAAAGCGAGACCAACGTTGAGCTTGCAATGATACCAATTTATTTATTTTATTTATTCACAATAATACTTTAAACAGGATATGCTTCTTCACTATAGTGATTTTCAAGGAGGTCCTATAAAAACCAATAATTAACTAATCATATGTAACAAAATTGAGTTTTGAAAAAAATTGATGAGACGAACTACAAATTGATAAACGCATACAATTATTATATGTCTTGGAAAACCTCAAAGAAATTGGATTTAAACAGAGAAATCTTAAAGCATCGTTTGTTAACATCACTTATTAGATTGTTTAATTCTTTCATGGCTTGATGATATGTCCTTTGTTTTCCCCAACTTGTTGTAACACTTGGCAAACGAAACTTGCTTCCATTTCTTGTGTTATAACAGTCACATTTAGCTTGGTCAACTTGACATCTGACAACAAGAAATTGTTCTTAAACGATACGAGACCCTTTTTTGTACCTTGGACAATCATCCACAGTTTTTACCATTTACAGTGCGAATCGAAAAACCGTGCGCACTTAGAAAGTTTTTAAGAATGTTCAATAGCCAATCCGAAGCGTTATTGTTATCTTTCCGTTATCTTGTGATTAGAAAGTCAATTCTAATTGGCCAAAGAAGAATAGAATATTCCTAGAATATTTCTAGGTGCCCACGGTTTTTCGATTCGCACTGTAAAGTGTACTACTGTTCTCAATTTGATGTGCAGGCAAGATACGGTTATTTTTTCAAGATGGCGGCACAGACAGCTATGGGAATTATTACTATGGTCCCTATAGTCCCTCATGAGCAATGTACCGACTTTGTTTATTCATTAAGCTAGCAATGCAAATGATCTTATTTTGGCAGTGTGAGTCGGCAGGAGAGAATCCTATTAAAACTGGGAAATTAGTTTTTCGAGTGGATTCCAAGTATAATTACAATCAGTCTAGCGACAGCTGATCTAACATCGTAAACATTTCATTTATAATTGTCCTTCAATACGTTTTTTAATTTAAAGTCTTAGAGTGCCAGATATTACTACCAAAATGCATGCATCATTAAAAACGGTTGTATGAAAGCTGTCTATAGCCAAGGGCCCCATGTCTCGTTGCTTACACAATGCGGTTCTTATCACATGCGATCATCAAGATATGAACGAACCCGAAGTTAAACACAAACTGAATATTAAATTGTAGTGGACGTCAGTCAACCGCATATCGTGAAAAGGGGTATACGTATACGCCGTGTTCTTCGATTGCGCGTTACGTCATCGCTGTCGACTCTCGGGGGAGCGTTTGTGCCATTTAACAAAATATTTCTTATTAACATCCTCTGTGAACGGCACCAAAATGGCCGAAATGTTGTTTTTTTGACTCTCTTGGGAATAATTCCAACCACCAATAATGCGCATGGTTTAATTAATTGGCACAACTTTAGATTAAAATATGATGACTTGATTATTTTCGGACTGGATTTTAATTTGGAAGATGTTCAACTTTTTAAACCTTTTTAAAGCCGTTTTTTTATATCTACGAAGTAAAACATGACAACCATACTACTTCATCCAATCAGCGTATGACATTTACCCAGGTGACTGATCAATCTATCGAAAACAATGAATTATGTGTGAAACATCTGGCCTTTTAGAATAGATTTCCATATCTATTCAGATCAATTTTGTTCATTATATCTCACATCATCACAGCTAAGGTTTGTAAATTGAGAGCGCAAAAGTTTTTATTTTGTGTCACATGTGAAAGGTATACTGAGTTCAGTGAAAATTGTCTTCAATGAGCATTTTATAAGTTTAACTACACTGTGGTACAAACGATTTGACTCAGCTACATCCTGAACTATACAGTATTTGTCATATATTTCTCCGACAGACATAGAAGATGCCAGAATGAATAGAAATTTATGCGAATGAAGGATTGAACTTTGTTGAAGTTTTAGCTGCTGTAAAACGCTTTTAATTTGGTGGAGAAATGGTCGCAGACAATCAAACGGGGACTTTAACCGCCTCAACTGTAAATATTTGTGAAGGATTTCCCTACCTAACTAAGGAAATACAACAGCAATTAAATGAGGATTTCTTTCCAGTCTTAAACAAGTTCTTCATAGCAATAAACGTCGTACTGTCTCCGATAACAACATGTATGAATGCACTTATCCTAATATCCATTTGGAAGACAGTTTCTCTTCATTCTCCTTCTCATACTCTTCTCGCCAACTTAGCGTTGTCGGACCTTGGGATTGGTCTATTTGTACTGCCTTCGTTTATCGTCTCGAAGTCCTTTCAGATAAGTAAGAATTTGGATGCTGTCTGTTTTGTTGGCTCTCTGGCAGAAAGCCTATTCTTTGTAATAGCCGGAGTGTCGTTTTTTACGTTGACTTGCATTGCAGTGAACCAGTTCCTAGTTCTGTATTTCCATCTTCGGTACAACAGTCTTATTAACATGAAGGAAACTAAAATTACTCTCGCTTTTGTCTGGATTCTAAATATTGGGCTTGGTGTATTGAGATTCAAAGGGCATTCTATAAATATGTTTTGCAGTGTTGCTATCGTGGTAGTAGCCACATGTTTGCTCGTAACATCAGTCTGCTATCTAAAGATTCTAAAAATCATCGCCAGACATCGAAAGCAAATTAACCTCGCCCTGAAAATAACGTACCAAATGCAAGACACACTCAGCTTCCCTAAGTACAAGCGGTCGGTCAATACAATGCTCCTTATCTGGCTTTTATACCTCGTCTGCTACACTCCTCTTCTTTGCTTGCTACTCTACGTTGGAGCAACTGCAGAAAGGAAATCATCCAAGAACATCCCTATAGTGGGTACGTGTATCGTTACCATGACAATGGCAGGGTCTTGCCTGAACCCAGTCGTTTACTGCCTCAGGATTGCTGAGTTACGATGTACGGTCATAAAGACAGCTAGAGAAATATTGCGACTTAAACCATAAACTTTCAAAAAATATTTGAATCTATAGTTCAGAACTGGCAAGTTTGGCATGAGTGGCGTATTGGTTACCGATTGCCTCTCCGCACCTCTGTGGTCTGGCCCGGCTCAAACCGGATCATTTGTAACCTGAGTTTATTATTATTATTATGTTTATTATTATGTTGTTCTCACGAGGGTTTTCTCCGGGTTCACTGGTTTCCTCCCTCCGTAAAAATCAATATGTGACTTGAGTGTTGTTTATTGTAAATATAGAATGTAGTGTAGCGCTTTTGGAGGGAACTTCACGGAACAGCAGCTGCCCGTACGGGGAGTGATAGTTCACGGTGATATATAAGTTTTGTTAATAACTAATTTATGGTTCAGGCGTAAACTGATCAAAGGATAGGCAGAATGCAAGCACCAATCGAGTGAAGTGCCGTAGGTTTCTGCAGGTTCAGAGTTTTCCAAATGTTAGTCGGCCAATGTCCCTGGAGATGTAGTATTGGCCATACCGAGGTCGAGTAAGAGAATGGGTCGAACATTATCTGCAGTAGTATTTTGGGGCTTCTTTAGAGGACGAATCAGACGCCATCTTGTAAACATTTTCCTAAAACAGTCGCACAATGCACTGCAGAATGCCAACTCCACCCAGTCTTTTCCACAACCTCAAAACTACTAATTAGAACATATGTTCTAAGTTTAAAAATGCATTATTTTATTCAAATAAGGGACATAAGATAACGAGGACACATCAGTACCGACGAATGCACAGAGTTCCAATTGAAAATTTGTTGTGACCTAAAGCGCACATTATAAACCTCTACGATGAAATGTCGTGATGTGTGGCGCCCCTGGACTTTCATGATCATTGACCTTAACTCATTTTCAGTCCAAACAAACGTCTAGATCTGAGTTTTTGACTTTCGGTCCGTCGGTCAAAAAATTTACTACCTCAGACCTTTGGGAATTTGAATGACGGAAGCCAAAAACCCAATCGACTGGAATTACAGTGTACACCTTTTGAATGATAAATACAATAAAAAGCGCCTAGGATAAGCCATATCGATGCGCGCTTCTCTCCTTTTCCAACACCCTAAGAGATACCAGAAAATGCTGATTTAAAAAAATTCGCATTAACACCCTAAAAGATACCAAATTGCGAATTTTTACCCCTAAGAGATACGACGAGCATCCCCGGTACTTTTTTCCCGGAGTCCCCTCCCCCCCCCCCCCCCCACCAAATAATAAAACCACAGGAAGCCCACAAAAATCTCCCGATAGACTAAAAAAATATAAACATAAAATATAGAAATAAAGGGATATTTAGAAACAAATCAGTGAAATAACTATTTATCCAAGGAAAATAGGCTGACAATTTTTAAGTCTATTTAGAACGGACGAAATGCTAAATTTGAAAGAGCTTGAGCCAGCGGTATTTGTCCAGTGGTAATCCCCCAAAAGAAAACAGCCGCCATTTTGGATGCTTGGCGTCTTTTCAAATGTGTTTTTCTAAAACTTTGTTGACCTTCATGTCGTGAAAAAATGCCAAGAGAACGAAAGTTACCTGCAAAACTACGCGGTAAGTTATTGTTTAAAGCCTATTGATAACCCCAGGTCTGTCATTTTTGACATTTTCGTCTGTGTTTGAAATGAAAATATTGCAACAGGTTGAGCTGTTTGTAGAGAATTTGTAAGTTAATCTTAATTCTTTCTTACTCGACTTGAAACGTCTTGTTTTAAGATTATTACGATATTTCTGAAGCTGTTTTCCCCCCAAAAAAGTAAGCTTATTTAAAGCTTATTACTAGTTGTTGTAGTTCAACAATCGTGAATTCCAAAGAAGTGGTTATGATCATTTTAGTTAAATCAATTGTCTAACAAAAATATTTCATATTGTAAATTTTGTACTTTGAGGTTTGTAGACAACTGAATGCCATTTTCCCCCCAATTTAATTAAGCTTAACTTGTGTTTTGAATATATTAGCTTAATTAAATTTAAATTAATGAAGTTAAAATCCTAACTTCTATCAATACTCCAGCAACAAGACGTTTTCCATCTCTTTATACTATATTCAAGCATATATTTATTTCACCAAGCTAAGTAAAATATTACTTGAAGGCATTTATTTTAACTTACTCAGTTGAGAAAAAAAATAGCAGCAGATTTGCTACATTCCATAAATTATGAAAAAAAGTTAGTATTAAGTGTAGGTCAATTGCCACTCAGTTTTCAGGGGTAGTCCAGTTGCTGGCAGCCATTTTGGATTTTTCCCACAAGACCAAAGGAAAATATAAAGCAAGCAATTATTACTAAGACATCTCAGTAAAAGACATTATAATATTATAACCAACAGTTTATTTTCAACAACCACATAAAGTTATAGAGATTAGGAATACTAAAGATGTATATGTATACAGTCAATGTCATAAATGTTGTCCACCGAAAAAAAGACATTTACACATTTACACATTTACACATTTAGACTAAAAGAAATATCACGTGTTTCCTCAAACGTTTTGGCATGAAACAAACGCTGAAATACCATTCTCCAATCTTAAATCCTCATCAAATTGGCGGGGCATTCTTGATTTTCGATTCAAGAGTTGAATTTTACATTTAAAGTTCAGGTTGACGCACACAAGGCAAAGAATACATAATGAAACACATGATATTTCTTTTAGTCTAAATGTGTTAATGTGTAAATGTGTAAATGTGTAAAAAAATTTTCGGTGGACAACGTTAATGACATTGATTGTATATATCACACAACAGGGGTATGTACAAAAAAAAAACAACAACGTTGACCTATATACACAGGTGTAGCTATTTCAAGAAAAGGTTGGCAAAGATGTTGTTGCAAGATGTTGCATGGAAACTATTGCATGTTGCATACTATAAGCTTGAAATGTATTATATTCTTGGCGTGCATAAATAAATATCATCACATACTGTACAAGAAATTATATCATATGATTGTTATATACACAATTTATTGCTGACAGATTCAGCTACTGTCGAGGACCTGGAAGCAGCAGAGGAAGGAAGCACATCCGCACCTGAAAGTCCCATGAAGCTCCAAAGAAAAGAATCTTCATCTAGCTCATCTGATCTAGCAAGTCCAGGAGAAAAGATGAACTTTAACAACACTATTGGATCCAATGTACCCATCACTAACATGACACATTTAACATCAGCAGTTAATCAGGGAATCTATCCAGCACAAATGGTAAATTAACACTAATGGTATTAGTAGTATGTTTCCCTGCTAGCAGAGCCTATTTTCCTTTTGTTTTGGTTGAGAGAGAAAAATAGACTCTGCCGATATAGGACGTTATTTCTGTTGCGCATGTGTGGCGTAACTTAGCAACGCTGTCATGATTTTGACAGCCGCTCTCATCAAACAATGTTTGGCGCCACAGTGTGTTACATTTGCGCATACGCACTACATGTAATCAGTTAAAAACCGGTTTTAAAACTGGTTTTGTTCGTCCATGCTCTACATCGGCAGAGTCTCCTTCCTCCCCGCCTGAAAGAAGGGAGAGAAAGAGAAGAGAGACTCTGCTAGCAGGGAAGTAGTATGTTAAAAATATAGACATCCATTTTTTTTAATGTCTGCCCTCTCATTGACCATAAGTTGTGTCATCACATTGTCAAAGTAGTGTAGAGCTACGCCTCGTGAATAGTGTAGTGCTACACCTCATGAATCTGCATACTACTTTGACAATGTGATGTAATGATGAAATTTATCATCAGTAAGAGGACCTGTAGACACATTAAAAAATTGTTTCACAATAACGAAAACGATCAAAACTTATTGTTATTAGTGATCAAAACAATCAAAAGAAAGGGTGCACGCTCATTGACATTAACTTATCTGTCTGTCCTTTTATTGATAATAAAAATTAAGAAATTTGTAAGTTATTGTAAAATCATTGTTTTCCTGGAGAATCAAGGGTGGCATTTTTTTTGTGCAACATGACTCACCAGTCACCTCTGGTGTCTCGGCTTGAGTATTTTTTAAAACTTTTTCCACAACCTTAAGCTTGTTAGATTGACACATAGTGGAACTTCTCTATACACACCCGGCTGTCTGTGCAATCTTTTTTCCTGCCCTCTAAATATTTCTCGTAATATTGTACAAGTCAAGTGACTGACTGTATATTGATTGATCTTTCTTCAGTATTTGTATATGTAATAGGACTCCATGCTGTCCAATTAAGAAATAATTGGACGAGGAAAATTCCGAGGACTGACAAAATGGGATGAGGCCGTAGGCCGAGTCCAATTTGGCAGTCAGAGGAATTTTTTGAGTCTAATTATTTCTTGATTGGGGAGCATGAAATCCCATTACCTATTAATTATATAGCTGTTTAATTAATCCCAAATCAAATTGCAGCAAAATTTATTTCCATTTTTTCCCCTGCTATTTTTTACAGTGCAAATCAAAAAAACTGTGGGCACCTAATATTTCAAGAATGTTCAATAGCCAATCAGAATTGTTATTGTTATCTTTCTGTTATCAAGATGGTTAGAAAGACAATTAATTCTGATTGTCCAAAGAAGAATTAAACATTCCTAGGATATTTCTAAATGCCCATGGTTTTTTTCGATTTGCACTGTAAGGCCTTTTTACCTGAAATTTATCCTGAAACAACCTCTGGGCTAATCAAAGTCAGGGCACCACTAACTCACAGATTGAATCCTGAAACAACTGCTGGGCTATTCTCAGCCAGGGAATGGCTAACTCACAGATCAAACCCTGAAACAACCTCTAGGCTGATCTAAGTCAGGGCATGGCTGACTCACAGATCAAACCCTGAAACAACCTCTGGGCTGATCAAAGTTAGGGCACGGCTAACCCACAGATCAAACCCTGAAACAACCTCTGGGCTGATCTAAGTCAGGGCATGGCTAACTCACAGATTGAACCCTGAAACAACTTCTGGGCTGATCTAAGTCAGGTCATGGCTAACTCACAGAAAGAACCCTGAAACAACCTCAGTGCTGATCAAAGTCAGAGCATGGCTAACTCACAGATCAAACCCTGCAACGACCTCTGGGCTAATCTGAGTCAGGGCATGGCTAACTCACAGATCAAATTGGAATTTAGAATATGGTCCAATCTGTCTTTCTTCCATCACAGGGACCTGGTAATGGTACAGTCCAAACAGAACCGATGTACCCATGTGGGATCTGCCTGAAAGAAGTAGATGATAATGACGATGCTATTCTCTGTGAAACAGGCTGTGGCAAATGGTATCACAGACTATGTACTGGTCTGACGGCTGCAGCATATGGGTTGCTAACAAGTGAAGGGAATGCTGAGTGGGTCTGCAATAGATGTATAGAAACTAAAAACATTCCTCTTGTTAAGTTAAATAGCTAATCACTACAGTATTTAGTTTTACTGTCATTATCCACTTGCGCAAAAACTTGTACAGAACCTAACGTTTCATACATACCATCCATGTTAACTTATCCATCATAGACGTTGTATCCTATTGCATCGACACCATGAATCCCAAATGTTTGACCACTTTTGGTTTTATTGTAATCAAAATATACTTCTACGTACAGAATATGTGTACCAAAGTATCAGTTTTGCTTTTGAACATTTTTCAGAAAGTGATATTATTTAGTCTGTGAAAGAAAATATTAAAATGACTATTTACTTAGTACTAGTATTGGAAAAAAAAAAAAAAAAAAAAGAAAACAATTCGTTTAGAGTCTACTATTATTATGCAAGCCATGCTATTTTTTCATGGGTTCAACAAAATCACCCTATCTATATAATAATAATCTATCTATAGAGCAATTTTATTGGGCCCATTGAAAGCATAATAAGCTTAATACCTGGTCCCAGAGGTTTCTCGTAGTTTTTGTTTTTCCTCTTTACAGAGAAAAAAAAAACTATGAGTAACCTCTGGGACCAGGGTACAACTGAATACACACAGTAGGCGCTATGAAATTCCTTTGTTTTCATTTTATTTAATTGGTTTTGCAGTACTTGGACTGTTAGGCCCAGTTTAAATTAATGTGGAATTTCTCATGTGGAGAAAGCAGAAAATCTATCTTTGCATTCATTTGCATTAGAGTGAACACAGTAAATCCGTGAAACACTAATTACTAAATAGTACAAAATAGTGCTAATTAAACAATAGAAAACAATGGAATTTGCATGAAATTGTGCTATTTAGTATTACTAAAGTTTCACAAATTTACTGCGGTCACTCTTGACTAGTAGGTTTTTGTGTTCCATATAGATTGAAACGTCAAAAATGTTTTCAACACATCGTGCTTCAAACCGAAAAAAACCTCATATATAATCATTTGCATTAGATTTGAGTAATGAAATTCCACATTTAAACTGGGCCTTAGATGTATATATATCATCCATAATGATGTATACAACTAAATGTGGCTTAAATAAAACCAACTGTTAATATAAGACTTCATACACGTAATGTTAGCTAGACACTACATGTATCTTTTATACTATCAAGCCCTTAGATAAATACTAAAGCCTCTTTAACAAGGACATTTTAGTATCTTCGTGCTGAGTTTTGTAAATGACCATTTGTCATCCTTTACAGTTTTCAAGAATCAAGCTTATTAAACATCAAAATGGTTATTGGTCATTTTATAGGCCGAAACAAGTTATAAAGAAAAGTAGAGCATTGATTATGAACCCTATAAAATGATCTTGTCCATCATGAAGTGTGTCTTGTCTTGAAAATACAGTAGAAGTTGCATGAAAACAGTTATTAGAGTTCTTTACCCTTGGGTGCTGAAAGTCTTGCTCTAATGCCCAAGGAGTACATTAGTTTGCAAAGCCGACAAAAGACAAAATTGTTCTGTATACGTACTTAATGATAGGCTTGAGCTACTTATTCAAACATCTAACTTCATATCATAATTGTATTTATCAAGACTAGTCTTGGCTATTTTTAACTAATTAGATGTGTCATTTACTATGTCATAAATCATTCAAAGAAAATTAAAAATGGGTCATTTTTGGCCAAAAAGCATGGACTATAGCCCATGGTTTTGATGGATTTTGGATGTTTTTCACACCTTTTTAAATTTCATGCATAATTCATAGAAAATGCAAAAATGGGTCATTTTTGGCCAAAAAGGATGGACTATAGCCCATGGTTTTGATGGATTCTGGGTGTTTTTCGCACCTTTTTTAAAGTCATGCATAATTTAAATAAAATGAAWAATGGGTCATATTTGGCCAAAAAGCATGGACTATACCCATGGTTTTGATGGATTTTAGGTGTTTTTCACACCTTTTTCAAAGTAATGAATGATTCATAGAAAATGAAAAATGGGTCATTTTTGGCCGAAAAGCATGGACTATAGCCCATGGTTTTGATGGATTTTGTGTGTTCTTTACACCTTTTTCAATTTCATGCATAATTCACAGAAAATGAAAAATGGGTCATCTTTGGACAAAAAGCATGGACTATAGCCCATGGTTTTGATGGATTTTGGGTGCTTTTCACACCTTTTTCATTTTCAAGCAGAATTCATAGAAAATGAAAAATGGGTTATTTTTGGCCAAAAAGCATGTACTATAGCCCATGGTTTTGATGGATTTTGGGTGTTTTTCACAGCTTTTTTAAAGTGATGCATAATTTAAATAAAATGAAAAATGGGTCATTTTTGGCCAAAAAGGATGGACTATAGCCCATGGTTTTGATGGATTTTAGGTGTTTTTCACACCTTTTTCAATTTCATGCATAATTCATAGAAAATGAAAAATGGGTCACTTTTGGCCAAAAAGCATGGACTATAGCCCATGGTTTTGATGGGTTTTGGGTGTTTTTCGCACCTTTTTCAAAGTGATGCATAATTCATAGAAAATGAAAATTGGGTCATTTTTGGCCTAAAAGCATGGACTATAGCCCATGGTTTTAATAGATTTTGGGTGTTTTTTACACATTTTTTAAAGTGATGCATAATTCATAGAAAATGAAAAATGGGTCATATTTGGACAAAAAGCATGGACTATACCCATGGTTTTGATGGATTTTAGGTGTTTTTCACACCTTTTTCAAAGT